CTTCAAGGACACAGAGGGATAGTAAGTACTGTATACAAGACTAAGTTGGTAGTAATTATCTCTTGGTAATAATTATCTCTTTGTTGATACCAACTCATGAATGTAACTTTAAGATAATCTGAACCCTGTTTCTTCAGATGACTCTAGTTTCCAATGAATAGTTTTACGTCAAGTAAAAGTATTATTTTTAAACCTGAGCCCTCAGCAGCATCAGGAATCTTGTACTCTCTGCTAGTTACAGGCCTGTGGTTAGACTTAACATGTCAAAGTGTTTATGGGTGAAATGTTGAGACAGAGTCACACTACGTAGCCAGGGCTAACCGAGAACTCACTATGTAGATCAGTCTGTCCTTGACCTCAGTGCCTCCCAAGTGCTGGAATTAGTGATGCACACCATCACACGTGGCTCACGTGTAAAGAATATTTTAATTCAGTTTTGTTTAACTGTTCACTACTTTAAAATAACCTCTTTTTGTTCTTTTTTCAACTATAATTCATTTTAATCCAGAAAGTAAAAGAAATAGTGTTTATTGATGACTATTATGTACCAAATATCTTCTTGAATGATTTTGTAGACATTGCTCAATATAATAATATACCTCAAAGAAAACAATATCTTACATAATTCAGCATTCAATTAAAATTTTTTAAAGCTTTCTTTTTTAAAAAATATTTTGTTTATTATTTTTATGTATATGAGTGTATTACTTTCATGTATATAACTGTACCTCTGTCATCATGCATTTACCGATGTTAGTTACCATGTGGGTGCTGGGAATTGAGTCCAGATCCTTTGCAAAAGTAATCAGTGCTTTTAACCATGGAGCCATCTCTCCAGCCCCCTAATCAAAATTTTTAATAAATGATTATTGAAGAAGAGCTATTAAGCAGGCGGCTAGAGATATAAAGACAAATAGTATTTGCTGATGTGAGAGTCTTTTTAGCCCAGAGACAAGAGATAAAAGCAGACAGGGCTTAAAATGTTACTGATGTTTTGGTTCTGTGATAAAACTCAATAATGTAGTCAGTCATTCATTAAATGACATATCTGGTACAATTTTAGGTACCAGATAAATGAATGACAGTAACTAGTTAGAGAAATGTCTCTCCTTGACAAAACTGAAATTCTTGTGCAGAGTCTAAGGACCACAAAGGAATACCTACTTCATCTGGGCTCACAAAAGTTGCAGGGGGATGTGGCATTTCTTTATGGGTCTATTGAAAGGCAATAACAAGGCCTAATTGACAGGAAAATGGCAGCTTTGAGGCATAATTTATATATCAAAGATTGGGTGAGCACTACACGTAGATCTACTTCTAAATCTGAGACCTCCAACCCCAGATGACTGTGCGTGACAGGCAGGTCCATTTTTGGGTTTCTTTCTGGAACTAGCTTGTTCCTTGAGCTGTCAGTTCACTGCATCTCCTAAGCCATAAAAGATAAATTCATTTAAAGTTAAATAAGAGAGAATGGTACAATTTGTCTCACTTGATTCCGAGGCAATGCCTTCAATTCTGCAGTGGATGTTAGATCAGAACAGATTTTTCTTTGTTAAATGGAAGAATCTCAAGGATGTCGAACTTGTTTTTCCCATTTCTCAGTCTTCCAATTCCAGTGAAATCTAAATGGACTTTATTGGTCTCCTTTCCCTGTGCAAAGACAGTCTAAGTTTTTTTAGATGTTAGCTTTGCTCAACTATCACAGTTTAAGAAAAGACATGTCATCGTAAAATCCCACTAAGTTATTTGGAGGCTAGGTTTTCAAAATATATAAAAAGTATATCCTCTGGAAACATCCAATTTTGCTCTGAAATCACACAGGAAAATTAATCAATTGGAATGCACAGAGAAACCAAAATTTGCCCAAGCTCTGTGAACTCCTTTAGCTGGATTCTGTCATGCCATTATTAGTGACCAGAGAACTGAAAATTATTGTCATCTCTTCTTTGATGACAATCTTTAAGTACGTTTGCAAATATATAATATTAAAAATTTACTATGTTCTGAGCAAGTGCTTCTTGTAAGTCTTTAAGTGTCTTTGACCTTATGTAATGAATTATCTCTGTTTTAAAGATGAGTTTTATTTGAGTCAGTGAGATGGCTCTATAGGCAGGACACTTGCTATCAAGCCTGATGACCTGAGTTTCATCCCCAGGACCTGCATGGAAGAAAGAGAGAAATAACTCCTACAAACTGTCCTCCCATCTCACACATACGCCATGGCACATGCATATCCACTTACACACACAAAACACACACATACTAAATAAACAAGTGTAATAAAATGTTTCATTTATCCTTTGACAATTAGACACGTGTAGAAAATGTATTCTGAACATAGTCACTCAGTGTTACCTGCTTTTAAACTCTTCCATTTTATTAAACTAAAGACATGAACGTAGGCAGGGGACTTGCTAAATGATCTCTTTTATGTGATTATAATTCATTTTTGGATTTTTGTAAACATGTTTTATTAAAACTACTTTGTTCATCTAGCAATTGCTGAGTGTGAGCATTTTGCTGGACTCTAAAGGTCAAGGTCATAGAAGTTACTAATCCTAACAGTCATATTTTGGTGCACCAGCTCTGTCTATAATCTAATTTTCTTTCTCTTAGTGTATGAGGTTTATAGTATTTTGTAAATTTTAAAATGGGCAGAGGAACTGCACTAGAGTGTTGGGAAGGAAATTCCTGGGCTCCACTCTGAGAAAAACTGAGCAGGGCTGGGAATTCACCTTTTCACAAAATCCCCATGTTTGGGGAGCTGGTGACCTTGGACTTCTGGAGAATGTCTTTTTTTTGTGATCTTTCTTTCTTACCAAAGACTCCCCACAATGAAAGACTTCTTTCACACTTTCATATAGCTACCTCAGTGTCATGCTCCTGGAACTGTCACTTAGACCTTCCAGACCCCTGCATCGCCTTGACCTGAAACAACCCCAGTGACATACTAGTTTTCCTGGTGTCAGTTGTCTGTGATATCCTGATACTGACAACATAGCTGCGGTCCCATGAAAAGCCTGATTGGAATACTGGGCTGTCTAGAAGAAGATCAGGAAATGCCTCTCAGAATATTCTGAAGGATAAATTTTCAAACAGGGTCTCAGATCACATTCAAAAACTGCTTGCCTTCAGTGAAGTATTTTATTCTTATTACTCATGTGCCCCCTGAAAAAGCTATGGAGTAGGCAAGCTGTTATCAGTTAAGGACACAGAGGCCCAGCAAGTTACAAATGCTACAGGGATTCCAGGTGGTAAAGTACAGCATTCAAGCCATGTGAGCTAGCTCCAGTTTCCAGACCCATTATCACACCAGGCGTTGTTTTTCTTTTAGTCAATGAATGAACCTTCTGGCCCTCCGTAACCACCATTAACTATAAGAAAGAGTTCCAGGACATTATCCAACAGATGGACAAGAAGCAAAAACAAAGACCTTTCATCTCAGAAGCAAAACAAAAACAAAGCCAGCACTACATAGGATGATTTCTAGTGTATTTGTAAAGTCAAAACTAGATCTCAGTCATCCGTTACAGAAAATTTCTAGTGAAGAAAAAGAGCTTGTAGTCCTACAATACCAAGTTGCATATCTCATGTCTCATATTATAAGAAGGGAAAATTTTGCATTTCTTCAACTTCCCTCCCACCTGCCCTCCCTCCCTCCTTCCCTCCCTCCCTCCCTCCTTCTTTCCTCCCTCCCTCCCTTCTCCTTTCCTTCTTTCTTTCCTTCCCTATCTGGAACTTGCAATCCTCCTGCCCCAGCCTCCTGAATGCTAAGATTATAGGCTTGGGCCACCATACATAACTTAAATGTCTTTTTAAAATTTTGATAAATTAGTGTTTGTGTGTTGGTGTGTGTGTGGAGTCATTTCTCTCCTTCTACCCATATGTGGGTTCTGAGGATTGAACTCAGGTTTCCAGGCTTGCAAAGCAGGTGCCTTTACCTGCTGAGCCATCTCACCTGCCCTCCACTCTTCCTCCTTCCTTTCCTCCCATCAGTCCTTCCTCCCTCCCTCCTTCCTTCTTTCCTTTCTTCCTCCATGTCTCCACCCTCCCTCCCTCCCCAGTCCTTCCTTCCTTCCCCCTACCCTCCTTCTTTCCTCCCTCTCTCCTCCCTTCTTCCTTGACAGGATTTTGTGTAGCTCAGCTTTGCCTTACCCTGGCTCCTCCACTCTTCCTCCTTCCTTTCCTCCCATCAGTCCTTCCTCCCTCCCTCCTTCCTTCTTTCCTTTCTTCCTCCATGTCTCCACCCTCCCTCCCTCCCCAGTCCTTCCTTCCTTCCCCCTACCCTCCTTCTTTCCTCCCTCTCTCCTCCCTTCTTCCTTGACAGGATTTTGTGTAGCTCAGCTTTGCCTTACCCTGGCTCTGTAGTCTAGCCTGGCCATAAACGCCTGAGCCTCCTTCATTTGCATCCTAGATGCTCGGCATCTAGGCACATAGCTCCATACCTGAGCCCTTTTACTTTTTTCCCCAAATACAGGAAACACCATGGTAGGCATGTGCCCCTGAGCCAGAGAAGGCAAGGTTCCCATTCAACCCTGCTTCTTGCTTGATGATGTGTGACAATTTGCTTATCTTAATTAATTATCATCTTCAATAAAATAGACATTCAAGGTTTGCTAAATATTAAATAGTGTAATTACAAGGTTTGGTAAGCATTAAATAAGATAATTAAGCTTAGCATAGTGTCTGTAGCATAACAATCTCTATCACTGGCACCTAACTTCTGTTATCATGAGTATTCATGCATGTAATTTAGTAGAATGCAAACACAAGTTTATATAGCATTTTTTGCAATAAATATATTATCACAGTGTAATTGATGTTGAATCTATACCTTATGACAAGCCAAATATAAACACACAAATCTTTGGGGGAAGAAAAAGAAGCAAACTGTTGATGCCAAGCCACCCCTCAGCAGCAGTGTGTCTGGATTGTGAATTAAGTCAGGATGGTACAGTGTTTACTTGTCTGCTGAGAGAAGTCTCATTTCTTTTTACCAGCTGATGAGCCCAATGTCCCTCACCTGCTCACCATGGCATCCCGCCTGAGAGAGAGTGCTGAACTCTTTCAGTCAGATGAGATGCGGCCTGCTAATGACCCCAAGGAGAGAGCTCCCAGCCGTGTCCGCATGTTGAACGACATCCTTCAGGACATGGAAGAGAGCTTTCTGGTCCAGCAGGTGCCACCGGGTTTTTATAGGTAGGAAATAAGTCTCTAAATTTGCACCTTTCCGGCAATTAATATCTTAATTTTGCTTCTATAATGTGTATCTTTAGAGACCATAGCATTTTAAAGAGAAACTATAGAGTGGTTATTAGAGATAGAATTCGAAGATCACAGTCCACTTCAAAAGAAAATCCCAAATGAGTAAATACTGGCTACAGGCCACATGGTTGAACAGCACTCTGTAGAGCCAACAGATTGTTTACATAAATTTCAGCATGAGTTAAATGTGATATTGTTACTAGAAAATCAAGTAGAGTCAAAGGTTTCATGGGGAGAAATGTACCTTCCTGATGGCAGGAGATAGGCTCAGGCTGTTTTGTTATAGTAAGATCATGCCTACAGTGCTGAGCTTAATTCTAAACACTGCATTTTATGACAGAGCGAAGATTAGATGGATCTTGAAACAAATAACAGAGGAGAATTGTTTGTTTGCAGAGTCAGAGGAGGGTGCGTTCTGAGAATGTGTTAGCGATGACTGCAGATAAAGGGATTAGATTTGTGTTAAGGGTGCAAACCAAGTGCAATGTGGCATTGTTTTGTGCTTTCCTAATTTAGTAGAAAATGAACAAGCAGAAGACAGAAGTTAAAAGATTTTGATTATATTAAATATTTTATTTAGCTAATTCATTCTTCTACTAGATACAAACTACAAATAACTTTCTGTTATCTATGATTATACAATGAATACAGGCATGACAATTTAATATATGCATACATGTTTGCAGATATTTTATGTGCATATATCTGTATATATTCTATATTTATACAGAAGTTTTGTATAGTGTTAAAGTCTAAATTTATGACCATTTATAGATGGTTCTGGGCTGAACTGTCCCCCTGCCTCCTTCTTCTCCTAGTCTATCTTCTCCTAGTCTATCTCCTAGTAATGCTAATTACTAGCCATACCACGTATAACCAGAGATTAAAATCAAAATTAAATAATTGGTATATATGTATAGAAAGTTTAAGTAAATGTGGGAAATACTACAAATATTGCTTCTAAAAAAATTAGCCGTAATACATGTATGACAGTGAGCAATCCAGAACCAAAGCTGTTGCAGCACAGGCTGGGGCCTCAACCTCCTGACAATTTGGTTAACATGAGATAGAGGTGGTGTTTTGGACCAAGCTTAGTGACCTCATAAGAATCTCATCTGTGCACATCTTAATTTCTGCATCTGTAAAATGAGATGGCAGATGAGATTCTTTCATTCTAAAAGCTTTGTTCTACTTTGGATATTGATGATTTTCTTTAATGAAATCCATTGTAAGTTGTAAAGTGAAGTTTGCTTTTAAATTACATTTTTATATAACTCCATCAAACACTATGACTCTGGATCATAATAAGACTTTCAGATATTTTATATAATTATATTTTTATAATAACTTAAGGCATTATCTATATTCCTTATATTCTCTTAAGCATCAGAGAGCAGCAATGATTCCAAGTAAAAAGCATCCGTCATGGTGGTAATCTAGTACTAGGGTTAGAAAGGAGGATAAATGAGGTGATTTGCTAAACTACAAGGACAGTACATGCAGTAACTTGTGGTGGGGTGATGCCACATTTTGACAGCCTGACTCTTCACGTCCATTTGGACCAAGTGTGAGGCTCAAACTTCTCTGAACCTTTTCCTTCAGATTCCTCCAGGAACTCTGTTTTCCAAAAAAGGCTTTGCTCTTTCTTTATTGGAAAAGTATATCCAGTATGAACCAGGGAAAGGAAAAGTGGAAGGATTTGTCTTATTAGGAAATTTGCCCTTTCTGAACCCTATTGAACTAGAACAGCCTGCACAGCCACAAAAGGATGTTATCAGTCTAATCCCACTTGTTATTTATAACACAAATGAAAGAGTAATCGTGTTGCATGAAAGAATTATCTGTTGCTTGAGTTGGTTGATATGCAAAACATATATAAACACACACAAATACATGCACACATTTTACCCACTTGTATGTTGTACTGGGTCAAGGACAAGAGCAGTCATGAGGGATTAAACCTTTATGTTTAGGTGCTAAGCAGAGTCCAGAATCTACTAAGACTCTAGTGTTAAATTGTTTCAAAATATAAGATTAACGTTTTGGTTGCAGGGTTAGGTAAAAGCCATTTGCCCAGGGCATGTTTATATTGTAAAAATAATTCTCACAATAACTACTTAAAGAAAATTCAGCCAGTGTGGTGGCACATGTTTTTAATGCCAGCACTTTGAAGGCAGAGGCAGCCTTGTCTACATAGTGAGTTCCAGGCCAGCTGGGGCTACAGGGAGACCCTGTCTCAAAAAATACCAAAAAAAAAAAGAAAGAAAAGAAAATCCAAGCACATTATTGGCTAGAATTATTAAATATGTCTTTATTAGAGTAGGCGAATTGCATTTAGCATTCATTTGGTAAAGTCTGTTTCCTTAGGGAAACACAGACGATAATGAAATCCATACATGAGGAGTATATTCCTTTTTTGTCTGTTGTACTGGATAGGGAAGAGACATAAGCCAAGTTATCCATTTAATAAATGTTTCCCTACCCTTTAAATAGTACATATAGATTCAATTTACTTTATACTCTATTTTGAGTAGAAAAGTAAACTTTTGTCTGTTTCTGATTAAGACTGATTATAGTCTATTTTTTAACTATTAATAATATCCTATAATGTCCTATATCCCAGTAGTAGTACAAACTCAAAATGTTACTGTAATATTCCAGTTCATTTAATAGACTTTAGGACTGAAAGCTTAAGTTTCAGTATTCTGTCATTGTACTAAACTTTCACTACAGTTATTACAGAGACACACACCTGTCATTCTTATCCTTAGGTTAAATGCTGGGTCACATTACAGGTCTATATTTGTAAGAAACTGTCAAACTATCTCCCAAAGTGGCTGCACCATATTGCATTCTCACCAGAGGCAAACTGCATTTGTGCTGATCCTCTCCTTCCCCACCTTTGCAGTTGATGGTCTGCATATTCGCCCCACCATGCTGCTCTCTGGTGTTTGAATTTGCAATTCCCTGTTAGCATATGTTGCTGACAATCCTTTGCTATGCTCATTTCCCACCTGTGTTTTCTGCAGCAAATGTCTGCTCAGATCCTTTGCCCAGTTTTATAAAAGAGCTATTTGCCTTCTGATTGCTAAATTTCAAGGGTTCATTTAATATTTTGGATACCAGTCCTTTGTCAGGTAGCTGTTTGGCAAAGACTTTCTCCTGATTTGTGATTTGCCTTTCTTCTCTCAACTGAACCTTTTGTCGAACATGAGATTTTAGTACTAATGAAATGTAGTTCACCAGTTTATTCTTCATAATCTGTGCCTTTGTATAATATCCAAACGTCTGCCTACAAAAGTCAACATCACCTAGATTTATTGATTTTCTCCTATGTAATATTATAGGAATTTAATACTTTTGTGATTTGTACTTAGGTGTTCTATCCAGTTTGAATTCATGTTTGTGAAATCTAAAAGGTTTCGAACTAGAGACTTCATTTTATTTTCTCCTTCTTTATGTATTTTGCCCCAAAACATCATTGTTGTAGCACTGTCTAACGTCTACGTTTCTCCACTGAATTGGCTGCTTTTTGTTGTATCATGAGCACTTAAAATTGCCTTTTACTGACAGTCTCTGACTTTTTAAGCTGTGGCTTTAATGATTAAGGACACCATTTAAAAATCGTACTGCAGGAGGAACTGACTTGGGACTGTGTGAAGCCAGAAGAGGTTTGAGCAGGAAAGTTGTTCTTTATTGCCTGAGATGCCTTGTGAGAAGCCAAGGAACATTTCCCAGCATTAGTCTCTCATCTCTAAACTAGAAACTCTCAAAGGGGTGTTAATAATAGAAAAAAAGGTAACGAAAACAAGGATATTTTAGTATAAGAAGATAATTTACAGATTTTAAACTCATATAAAAGTTACAATATTATCCCATTATCCTGTGTCTACTTCAGACTTTGATAGAGTCCCATCTCCAGGACCTTTTCCCCATACCATGAAGGGAGAAACCTCTTTTTTTTTCTTTTCTGCTCAATGACTTTTATTTGGTTTAAGTTAAATATTTTTCAAACATGATCTTTGTCTTTGCATTTAAATTTGAGGAATATTATATATCAGTTTCATGGGAGTAAGGTAACTAAAACATTGTTAAACCCAAGAACACATTAATTAAAAAAAATAACTTCATATAAGAATAATTTTACAGTTTCTAGAGAGGTTTTAAAGATAGCACAAATAATATCCTTCTCCTCCTGACTCAATTTCCCTGTTGTAGCCAAACTGATAAGCAGATTGAGGAAGTCCTGCTAAATTCTAGACTTTAATTTTGATAATTTTACTTCTCTGTACCATTGATCCACACTGGGATGGCTCATTGCATTTAGAGAAGTACATTTAAGGTTGGTATGGTGATTTACTCTCCTAATCCCAGCACTTGGAAGTCAGAGGCAGGAAGATTGCTACAACTTTGAGGCCAACCTGGTCTAAATAATGAATTCCAGGCCAGCCAGAGCTATAGCATGAGACACTATCTCAAACACTAAACAGTCAACCAGCCAATCAAAGAAAAACAACAAAAAGTGAAGTAAATTTAAAATAATCCAAATTATCTAATTTTTGACACATAAGTAATACAGAATAAGCTACAGAGAAGAAAAAAACAGTGTTTTGTCGCTGTCTACTTTACTACTTGTTATTGGGCAGGCACACAATGTTTGTTGTGTGACTGGAGACAATGCAGGGGTCTTTTAATATTGAGCCCCATGATCCTACCTCTCCTTGGGACTAGAAAGTTTTGTTGAATCTATTTGTGCTTCTTTCCTCTTCTTTTTTTTTGAGACACATTTTAAAATTAAGTGATGAAAAATGTTCTTTTTCCCCAGGATCACTGCAGTGACGTCAATCTTTAATTTTTCTTAAAACAGTCTTTTTCCATTAACAAGCCTTTGTTAATTGTTCACCATCCATAGGAGCTGCAATATCCCACACAAA